ATTGCTTGCATCACGAGATAGATTTTATGCAGCTATTGTATTAGACACAGATTATATTGTATTGTATTACAGATGTAGACAGTTTATTGCTTGCATCACGAGATAGATTTTATGCAGCTGTTGTATTATACAGACAGATTATATTGTATTGCAGCTGTAGACAGTTTATTGTGTACAGGTTTAATTTTAGAGCAAATATCTTGTGAAATACTAATGCACGTGTGGAGCGCAGTTGTATTTCTTGATTTAGTTCTAAATTAAATTGACAACTGATCGTGATTTTCAAAGAAAGTAAAAAATACAGCTGATAATGAGATTGAAAATGTTTTTCGGCAATTTGTTGATTATTTGTAATTGATATTTAACCTATACTTAGCGACAGTAAGCTTCGCCGAAGAAATAGTGAACGATCATATAGTGAGCTACAAAACAAAATTTAGGACTCATGTTTTAAAATAATAAATAACTCCGTGATAACGTTTCATTTTCGATTAGAATAGAAACCAAGTTGTGATCCTCTGAATGATCGGAGAAAAAAGCAAAACTTTTAAAATCAAACTGTAAATTAAGCTATCTGCGGTCAAGTTGATACCATGTCACTGAAACGTCGACATAAATAGAATATAAACGTCTGGTTTTGACGAGTTAAATAGATGTAAATATTACCATAAGACCTTTTCAAAATCTCCGTTTCGAAATCAATCATCCGAACAGAAAATTACTTCATGGAAATTCATCACCACCATATCAATTTAGCTTAAATTGTAGCTAATAAAGCGAAAAGTTTCATATTAAAACCATTTTACGAAATTATAAATATAATAACAATTGTCATAATTAGTCTTGTACACACCGCCAAATTATAAATATAATAACAATTGCCGTAATTAGTCTTGTACACACAGCCAAATTATATATATAATAACAATTGCCGTAATTAGTCTTGTACACACCGCCATATTATAAATATAATAACAATCGTAATTAGTCTTGTACACACCTGGAGGCAATGCAGAACCGCTCCCTCTGCTGCCGCGATGCTCAGTGTGTGGGCGGCGGTTGCCGAGGGCGGGGGTGGGGATGGCGCTCCCGCCCCCGACTACCCCATTCACCTGGTTTTTCGATAATCCGCTGCTTCTGAAACAAAATAAATGGAAGATTTTATATGTTGCTAACCAAAATAATATAATCCGCTGCTTCTGAAAAGAAATAAATGCATGATTTTAGATGTTACTAACCAAAATATTAATGATGAAAACAGCTAATCTCAGTCACGATTCAACACAGCGCATGAAACCAGTTATGGAATACATAAAAATGTTGAAAAATTTTTATATCAACAATAAATAAAATGTTGAGCTAATTCCTAGATTGCCAAGAAACTAGTTAGTTCCATCAAATCGACAACAAAATGTTTATTGAGCGATTTCCCTGTGTACCAGAACTAAGATCGTTAAGGTTCATCCAATACTAGAATGATAATCACTTATATATTTCTCAAAAATTTTTGTGTTAAAACTTTGTAGATTTTGTAGCGGGAGGGGCTGCAAATACACGTATGTATGGGTTGTTCGTGCATATGTGCACGTTCTAATTTTTGAATTGATCTATTTTTTTTAGAATAGTAAGACATTGAAATACTTAGAGGAAAATATTGCATTAAAAATACAAAATGGAAAAATAGATACACATAAATTCTACCTAGAAGACGCGAGCATAGTTTTTTCCAATTTTAAAACGGTAGTCAACAGGGAGGCTTTAAACCGTTTATATGAGGCTTTATGAGGCTTTTTATATGAGGCTTTAAACTGGTAAAGTGATGAAGAGACTCTAAAATTGAAGAGATTATAGATCCCAGACTACACCGGGCTAATCTGCTGTTAATTAATAAAAGTGACACTGACATTCGCAAGGCTCCACTAATAAGACGAACAGAAGTGATAGTTTAATTGGCTGTCGCTGGAACGAACATCTCGCTCGTTAATTGCACAGATGTGACGTCACCAGTTCTTCCGAGTGGTGATTGTTGCCTTAGGTAACAATGATTGTTGCCTTAGGTAACAATGATTGTTGCCTTATGTAGCAATGATTGTTGCTTTAGGTAACAATGATTGTTGTCTTATGTAGCAATGTGATTGTTGCCTTATGTAGCAATGATTGTTGCCTTATGTAGCAATGATTGTTGCCTTATGTAGCAATGATTGTTGCCTTAGGTAACAATGATTGTTGCCTTAGGTAACAATGATAGTTGTCTTAGGTAACAATGATAGTTGTTTTAGGCAACAATGACAGTTGTCTTAGGCAACAATGATTGTTGCCTTTGGTAACAATGATTGTTGCCTTATGTAGCAATGATTCTTGCCTTATGTAACAATGATTGTTGCCTTATGTAGTAATGATTGTTGCATTATGTAGCAATGATTGTTGTCTTATGTAGCAATGATTGTTGTCTTATGTAGCAATGATTGTTGCCTTATGTAGTAATGATTGTTGCATTATGTAGCAATGATTGTTGCCTTATGTAGCAATGATTGTTGCTTTAGGTAACAATGATTGTTGTCTTAGGTAACAATGATAGTTGTTTTAGGCAACAATGACAGTTGTCTTAGGCAACAATGATTGTTGCCTTTGGTAACAATGATTGTTGCCTTATGTAGCAATGATTCTTGCCTTATGTAACAATGATTGTTGCCTTATGTAGCAATGATTGTTGCCTTAGATAACAATGATGGTTGCCTTAGGTAACAATGATAGTTGTCTTAGGTAACAATGATTGTTGTCTTAGGTAACAATGATGGTTGCCTTAGGCAACAATGACAGTTGTCTTAGGCAACAATGACAGTTGTCTTAGGCAACAATGACAGTTGTCTTAGGCAACAACGATTGTTGCCTTGGGTAACAATGATTGTTGCCTTGGGTAACAATGATTGTTGCCTTGGGTAACAATGATTTTTGCCTTGGTAACAATGATTGTTGCCTTAGGTAACAATGATTGTTACATTAAATCAACAAAATTCAACTTGTAATCCCATTTTACATAACGTCAACTATCGTCACGCTGCACTAACTTCAACTCAGCAATTGTTTTCGGAACGATGAGCAGCGTCAATATCGATTTCGCAATGCGCTGCAACGTTGGTCCTTTTCACTGGAAATTGAGTGATTTCGTGGCCGCAAATGAGCTGTGGCAGGTGAATTAAGGCCTTTTATTACATCAGCGTCGACAAGGTGAAACTTCTGCACTAAGAGCCGAAAATTGCAAGCGTTTAAGACGCATTATCGCATAGCATTTTTCCCACGTGAGTAGGGACAATAATTTTTAAAAGCACTATGTAGTAAATTCGATATAAAAAGTATGAAATTTAATAAAATAAAATTCAATGATGAGAGCTTCCTAATGCTGATAAATAACGAAAACTCGATCATGAAAAAAGGGAATATGGAAGCTGTCAAATTATTCTAAAAATTAATCAACGTTACTTGTTTCCATATAATTTTAAAACTATACACAAACTTTTGCCACTATGATTTAATAAAATGAGTAACAAATGCTACCTGCACAACTTATGATACATGAAGATTAAACTAGTGTTCCACTAATGGTCCGACTACTAACAAACAAAAATTTAATTAATAACTCCAGAAATATCATGGACGCGAGCACGACAACAGAAATTTTTCGTTCCAAGCAAAAGCGTTGCAATGAATTCGCATCCGCCATCAAAGAAACTTCCAACGTCGACCTAATGAAATCTGAAAGCGAATATCGCATCCAATATACAAGCTCCGGTCGAGTATCCATGCTACCGAGAGTCTGCCTTTGAAGCTCAATTAATGGAGGCCCTGCAGCAACCTAATGCCACCGATTGCAGGAAGAATACTGACATGGGTTGTTTTACTTATATGCGGTATTAAGGGAAATTTTAGAAATATTAAAAATTTTAAGGGATTTCATGCAGGAAATTTTTAAGGGATGAAATTTCAAGGGATTTTAGAAAATATTTGAGGCAGCCACACTGTTAGAAAAATTACCGTTAACGGTATTACCGGCGTTTCAGTGGCCGGTCGGCACGTGAAAAGAAACACCGTGTCGCCGTTTTTATTCCAATTTAACACTAGAAATCCGTAAAACATCTGATATAGACGGCGAAACAGTTTATTTTCACGGGGCGACCGGCCACTAGAATGCCAGTGGGACCGTTTTTTCTCTGTTTTTTCTAACAGTGCATGGTTAAAATAAAATTCGACTCTTTGCAGTGAAAAAATATAATGCATTCTCTGGTCATTAATTGTATGGATAAAATTGTTTGCAGGGCTACGATCGTCTTGGGAGTTCTCAAATTTGGTCTCGGCTTTTGTTACAGGTAATTGAAATAGCAGTTACTGCTGCCCAACTGAAAATGCATGTTAATAATAATCATTTCAACAATATTTATTCATTTCAACAAAATTATTCGCAGCCGATTGAGTTCTGTACCTCAGCATCTTCAAAAATTCACTATATCCAACAGAGTTTAGAACTCGTATCAATTTTTTTAAGTCTTTTCACAAAGTGAAAAGGGCCCTCATGTAACATTTGTAAGTTATATATTTTGTATAACAATGCGGTATACACCTTTTCACTGTTATTGTCTTAAATAATTCATCGTGGAAAGCAATAGAAATAAAATTAACATGGCTAGCTTATTAACAAATTCTCAACGTCAAGCAGTTCCATTAGAACTCCTCTGTTCTCACTAATGAAGTCATAAGGCAATTTATTTCAAAAGAAATCTAGGGGATGCGACAGTCAGCACCAAACAAAGCAATTCGAGTAAACACGTTCAAAGGGCACTTAGACGTGCAATTACTGTCAGGAATGATTATCTTTGTGTCAGTACATTCCCAAGAAAACACAAACTATATATCATCCTGAAATTCATTGCAGCGAATTTACCATTCAGTAATTCAATTAACAAAGTCACATTGAATAAACAGAAACGCTGATATAGCATTCGTGCTCACTGGACCACATCAATGGTAGACACGTCAATGGTAGACACGTCAATGGTAGACACGTCAATGGTAGACACGTCGCAGGTAGACGCGTCAATGGTAGACACGTCGCAGGTAGACGCGTCAATGGTAGACGCGTCAATGGTAGACACGTCAATGGTAGACACGTCAATGGTAGACGCGTCAATGGTAGACGCGTCAATGGTAGACACGTCAATGGTAGACACGTCAATGGTAGACACGTCAATGGTAGACACGTCAATGGTAGACACGTCAATGGTAGACACGTCAATGGTAGACACGTCAATGGTAGACACGTCAATGGTAGACACGTCAATGGTAGACACGTCAATGGTAGACACGTCAATGGTAGACACGTCAATGGTAGACACGTCAATGGTAGACACGTCAATGGTAGACACGTCAATGGTAGACACGTCAATGGTAGACACGTCAATGGTAGACACGTCGCAGGTAGACGCGTCAATGGTAGACGCGTCAATGGTAGACACGTCAATGGTAGACACGTCAATGGTAGACGCGTCAATGGTAGACGCGTCAATGGTAGACACGTCAATGGTAGACACGTCAATGGTAGACACGTCAATGGTAGACGCGTCAATGGTAGACGCGTCAATGGTAGACACGTCAATGGTAGACACGTCAATGGTAGACACGTCAATGGTAGACGCGTCAATGGTAGACACGTCAATGGTAGACACGTCAATGGTAGACACGTCAATGGTAGACACGTCAATGGTAGACACGTCAATGGTAGACACGTCAATGGTAGACACGTCAATGGTAGACACGTCAATGGTAGACACGTCAATGGTAGACACGTCAATGGTAGACACGTCAATGGTAGACACGTCAATGGTAGACACGTCAATGGTAGACACGTCAATGGTAGACACGTCAATGGTAGACTCGTCAATGGTAGACTCGTCAATGGTAGACACATCAATGGTAGACACGTCAATGGTAGACACGTCAATGGTAGAAGCTACAGCAGCAATGCATGCAATATAATTCAATCGCAAGGCAGTACCGCGGAAAATAGAGCAGACCAACGTTCCCTGGAGCGGAATATGGAACGTAGCCATTAGAATTAATGACTTCAGTCGCAGGCAAGTTGATGCTTGTGTCCCCGATTGCATTAGAGAGATTAGCTTGAAGTGCGATGAATCATTCACAAGATAGATTTTCTAGTAATAATTCTCTGGCATTTCGTAGCAATAGTACAAGTGCTACGCGCCTCTCACAAAACTATAATGGATTTAAATGTGATAAGCAGTGGTCATTAATCCGTTGTGATAACTAGAAGAAATTGTGTATTCATGGAAAAATTACCTTGATTAACAGGCATTTTTCCTGCTAAGGTTTGGATCCCAAGTATGCTTTGTAGCAGGTATGTAAATCCTTAGTATGTGTTCAAGAAAAATTTTTAAACTCGTTTTTATTGAAACTGAAGAGTCTTCACTATTTCAATGTATATATTATGTCTATAATTTTGAACAAATTTCGTCCCAAAAATGAACCTATATAGTCGTCTTTGCAAGTTATTTCAGCATCCAGTGCGACTCAAACCCACAACGATACCAAAGCTAGAATCTCTGGGACTCGACATGTAACAATATTCAAATTTTGCGTAAAGAAGATTAGTTGAATTTTTCCTCATTTCTCGAGATCTTTCTTATGGCCTGAGATCTCGGAAAGCTGCACTTAGAAAAATTAATGCTAAATATTGTCCCAGTAGTGACATACTTTCCAACCCACAGCACGAGAAGAGTACCGAAGTAGGTTTGTTGCGCCCATTTTCCGGGCCAAGATGAGTCAGGATGACCCACACAGGGGAAAAGTGCATCAGGATGACCCACACGGGAAGACCCACACAGGGGAAAAGTGCATCAAGATGACCCACACGGGAAGACCCACACAGGGGAAAAGTGCATCAGGATGACCCACACGGGATGACCCAGACAGGGGAAAAGTGCATCGGGATGACCCACACGGGATGACCCAGACAGGAGAAAAATGCATCAGGATGACCCACACGGGATGACCCAGACAGGGGAAAAATGCATCGCTATTTGGACAAAGTCTCTCAAATTTCTTTGAGTTTACAGGAGAGTATTTATAGGAATCCAGGATCTGGAGACGTGGGCCGTCTAGCGTGAACGGGAATGGCGTCGGATTTGAACGGGTGTTTGGTATTCACAGGAGAGAGTTATAGAAATAAATGCTAATGGTATTCATAGAATACGCACCGAGGGTAACTGCCGGATCACATTATAGAGATATATTATTATATATAAATGATATAGAATGAATTCCTTGGGTATAAAATAGGAAGAATTTATGCTTTGGTTTAGGTGCGTCATATCGCTGCAGAAAATTTGTCAGGTTAAGGATTTTCTATATCTGAAATTTGTGAAGAATGAACCACGAAGCTGTATAGTCTTCATTGGCGATGCACTATTTAATAATGCATGATAATGTCCTGATAACGTAATTCGAATTTTGCACAATCCAATGTACAGAAAGGGTCCGTGTCGTTTAGAAACTTAACTATATTTGTATTACTATAAAACTATATAAATATGATAACGAAGAAAATGACAAGAAAACTTACCAAACATATTTTCAATGACATTCCAGAAACTAGCTCCACCGTAAATTCAGAAGTATATAGTAAGAATAATTTTCTGGCACTTCAGCTGATAATAGGCGGTAAAAAATTACCGCGATATAAAAAAATGCGAATCAAAAATGACCGATATGATAACGTCTCAATGACGTTATCCAATACGATAACCTCTCCAGAAAGTCTCAATTATCATCAGTTTTAAAAAAATAAGCTTGTATGATTGAACTTTTGAACAGATGATGAAACCTATCTCCCAAAAGTCATATTGGAAACATGGCAATTTTTCACGTCTTTTTTCAAGCAAAATTTTGATTAACCAGTGGTTCAATCAGTCATTTGAACTTTACTTAGTTTGCTATTGATATAGGATACACAATACTTTTGGAGCAACTGAATAACTTAAAGATTATTTATAGTCCAAGTAGCAAAGGCTACATCAGTTATAATTCAGATTTATAACAAATTTTATAAATAGCCGAATAAATTTTAATCACTATCCGCAGAATTCTACCAAAACAAATTTCTATAATAAATTTAAATAATTTATGTTTCATAACATTTCAGTATAATAAAATTAATAAATGCTAGTTGTATTCAATACTATTTATCATCTATTCCACAATTCAATTTTTAACGTTTTTCGCGGGTTATTTCATATGCCGCACGAACTTAGGCAGGCAGATTGTAAAACTTCGGTGGGAATTTTTCCCTCAGTTTCATTCAGGGTAGCCTCAGGGAATCTAGTTTCTCGATCTCAAGAGCAACAGATACGAGTAAGTTCAGAGAATAGAGGCAGACTCTCGAGTTACTTGCAGAGTATCGATTATTGGAGGGATGCGTGTGCATCTGGAAGAACTGTCTTCGGGGAATGGTCTAAATTAGCGGGCAATTCTTGAGGGTTCACTGCAGGGTGGCCAGCTGCATGCAGGCGAGTGCTCTGATAGGCATAAAACATGTCAATAATATAAAAGACATAATATTGAAAGGTGAAATAACTTTTAGCTCAATTTAGTATGCCTTGCTGAATTAGACCGTTTACAATGTTCAAAATGTTCGACACTAGATATTGACATGTTTTGAATTTAATGAAACAACATTTACCTTAAAGGGATCGGAGCCCAAGCTTTATCCTACTGTATTTACTTGTGATAAAGTTTATGAATGTGATAGCCAGGGACTTTCAACTTTCTTAATCAAGAACAATCTACGCGAGAATTCAATGTCGTTCCTGAGTTCAAAATAAGCCAAGGCAATGGTAATTGCTTTATATATATGATCGAGGTAAGCAATAATATAGCTTTTATTAACGCGTAAATCAACCAACCCAGCTTCAAAACACCAACATCAACAAAATACATATCAATAATAACAATAAGTACAATATAAAAGACGGAAAACGTATCGGTAAAAATTCGTGTTCGTCTCTGCAACCTACCTATATAAATAACGAAAAGGATCACTGACAAATTTGGATTCGGAAACTATTCGTCGGCATAATTGGCAATGTCGCCACCACATAACATCGCCAAGATGCCCAAGTTTTCCCATTAAACTTGAACTGCAGTCAGCGAGCGATGCAAATTAAGTTACAGGTACCAAACGAGCCTTCAATGAACTTTTCGGACTAAGCAAAAGTTGGAATGAAAAGCGCGAGGCTTTCTGTTTGGAAAAATGGCTTCATAAAAAATCACTCGCTCATTCATGTCAGTATAAAATGAAATGATCTTTACGGATCCTCACGCAGTTCTTTTAATCGATTCCAGTGGCATTAAATTGTTGCATTTCTTACTGGATAAAGAAAATCAGTCATTTTAGCGCGTTTTCTCATTTATGGAACAAATGCACTATTGTGCTATCGCCATGTCCGCCTGTCCGTCCGTCCGTCCGTCCGTCCGTCCGTCCGTCCGTCCGTCCGTCCGTCTGTTTGTCCGTCCGTGACTTCACGTTTTCGTCGACGAGAAAATGCGCTCTCTGTCACTCACTGCAGTGAGTACTCGAGTTATATTTTTTCCCAATTCAGGTAGTGACACCCGCCCATCCTGTTCACAAGATATACATGTTAATCAAAATTAATTTACGGCTAAACTTTGTGTTGTTATATACTGTCATGGCCTTGCAAGTACTACAGTCTTGTTATGTTACTGTTTTCTTTCACTATACGGCGGATGGTTAACGCAAATCTGTTTTCCCTGAGTCTACCAACGAAGACTTATTACTAGTTAGGTGAATTTTTTCAATGAAGTCTAAGCTTATTTATATAGTATTTATTAATCAGAACCCAAGTCCACACGTAAGTTGAATCTGCAACACATTCCAAATTAAGCACACTATCTTCGTTTAATTCTCTCTGGAGCACTTTTCATGTATTGTCTTACAGTACTTCTATTCGTGGTCTATAGAGATCGAACAACAACCATCGGTCTCAGTCTCAGCGCCCACGAGGCAATCCGCTAATGTTGCATCTATCGCCACCCCTTCCGGTGAGCCATTGAAACTATTGTAGAAAAACAAAGCAGTGCAATATCCATGTGATATCCGCCTCAGAAGACATGTAAAATATCTCAAATAGGAGTTCAGTATGAGTCCGAAAGAGCGTAAACTTGAGCACACGCCCAGATCCCGTCTGTTGAAACAATGAGAGAGAGTGGTGCCCATGTAGTACTTCATAGGAACAATAGAAGTTGCTGCCACTAAATAAAGTTTACCGAAATATTACTTGACTAAATTGTGACGTTGACCGGTAATCAGAAAACAGATTACGGTCACAAGAAAATGAACTTTTTTCTTACCTAGTTGATATGTGATGAAAAACGCTACTACAATAATGACCATGAAAGCTCCGAGTTTCAAGTCGGAGAAGCAAAATATAAAGAGATACAAGAATCAGCATTTTTGGTTATCTCATTGATTGAGGCAACAGACCTCAGGCAACAAACCTCAAATAGAACTCAACGAAAGTAGCAAGATTGCGCGAAGAATTGATCGTATCAAACAATTAAAGAAGGAAATAACAAAAAAATATCACTAAGTGAACGAAATGGCCGTCTCCAAAAGACGCGAAAAAGTACGCCACGCTGCACCTCAGGCCTAATGGAAGCTAATCTTTTTTGAGCGATACTTCTAATGGTTAGTAATAGAGCAGAACAAGGGGCTGTGCAATGGAGGGGAGAGTAATGGAAAACAGCGAGACGTGCGGGACAGAGGCTTCGTTCAATGGCCAAACTTTCCTTGCAGGCGCAGATTGGACACATCAAAGTAGCTAGGAGGAGAGAGATCTGTGACATTGATATAAAATCTTAATATGAAAGCGTTATCGTGTAAAATTTACAGGAATAAAATAAAAAAAGGTTGCACAA